CAGCGAGACCTCATCTCTACAATAAATCAAAAAAATCAGCCGGGCATGGTAGCGCATGCCTATAAATCCAGCTACTCGGAAGGCTGAGGCAGAAGGATCGCCGGAGCCCAGCAGGTCGAGGTTGTGGTGGCCAGGAGCGGCCACTGCACTCCAGTCTGGGTGACCGAGTGAGACTCCAACTCAAAAAAAAAAAAAGAAAGAAAAAAGAGCCGGGCTCTGTGGCTCAGCCTGTAATCCCGAGCCTTGGGAGGCTGAGGTGAGTGGATTGCCTGAGCCCAAGGGTTCGAGACCTGCCTGGGCAACTTGGCGAGACCTCATCTCTACAATAAATCAAAAAATTAGCCGGGCGTGGTGGTGTGCGCCTGTAGTTCCAGCTACTCGGAAGGCTGAGGCAGAAGGATCACCGGATCCCAGCAGGCCAAGGCTGCGGTGGCCAGGAGCGGCCACTACACTCTAGTCTGGGAGACAGAGTGAGACTCCAACTCAAAAAAAAAATAAAAATAAAAATAAATCCTTCTGAGGCCTATTTCTGCACTAAGAGTGGAGTTTATTAGTGTTTCAGTGTCTATTATTTACATCTTTGTGACCGTTTAACTCCCACATATGAGACCCAATCTTCACCACTACACAATATGTCCATGCAATGAATATGCATGCGTACCCCCAAATCTAAAATAAAACTTTAAGAAGAAAAAAAAAATCCCTCCCCAATATCTTTCTATCAAATGGTCCATGTGGAGACCAGTAGTTCCCAACACTGGGAGAAGAGAAGATGTTTGTCCCCAGGGAATGTTTTGCAATGTTTAAAGACACTTTCCGTTATCACAACAGAAGTGGAGTTTACTATTGACATCTCATTAGTAGAGGCCATGAATGCTGGTAAACAAATATCATACCATACAGCACTCAGAGACAATGAATTATCTGGTTCAAAATAGTCCCAAGGCTGAGAATTTTTTTTTTTTTGAGTCAGGGACCCAGCCTGGAGTGTAGTGGTGCACTCAAGGCCACTGCAGCCTTGACCTGTTGGGCTCAGGCGATCCTTCTGCCTCAGCCTTCCAAGTAACTGGAACTAAAGGCACATGCCACCACGCCCAGCTAATTATTTGGTTTATTGTAGAGATGAGGTCTCACCAAGTTGGCCAGGCTGGTCTTGAACTCCTGGACTCAGGCAATCCTCTCACCTCGGCCTCCCAAAGTGCTGGGATTTACAGGCTTGAGCCACTCCACCTGGCCTGAGAAATTTTAATTTAAACTAAAGTGACTGCTCAGGTTAGCAGTGTTGCCCAAGGACCCCACAAGGTTCAAACTCTTTGGTTTGTTAGGCAGTTTTAACTGACTCTTTCAGCTTAATCCGTAGATTGCCAAAGAGTGGAAGTTGATAGTTCTGAATTCCTTTCTAAGACTGTTGTTGTCTTGTCAACTGAACTTAAACAAACTACTGTACCTCCTCCTGATTCAGTTTCTTTTTTGCTAGAAATCAATGAGATTAACTTTCTAGTTGTATTAGTATCTCTTCTCCCAGGTCTGCCTCCTGAAATAGTGCCCCTGAGGTTATCAACAATCTCCAAGTCTATAAACCCAATTAACATTTTTCCTTTCTTGTCTTTTTTGACCTCTCATTAGACACAGCATTAGACATAATGCACATCCTTCTCTCTTATATTTCTCTCATTTCTTGCCTTTCATGTCACATGCTCCTAATTTTCCTCCTCTGCTCTAGTTCAAATTCTCATTGTCAAATATAGGCTTGCCACCCTCTACCAGATAATTCAATCTTGGAGTTCCCTCAGGCTCAATAATTGATTCTCCTTTCACTGTAGACTTTTTTTCTAGACAGTTTCATCACTGTCAAAGCTTCCATTATAACCTATGCTGCTGGCCTACAAATTTTTATATTGAATCCAGACTTCTCTGAGTTACAGATCCATGTAACTCAACTGTCTACTTGACATCTCAATCTGATGGTCTTACAGGCATTCACACTCTCATCTGTCCAATCTGGATGTGGTACCTTCCCCTGTCTCATTTCCTCAGTATGCCTGCTTACCTACCCAGATGTACAGAGTCTTTGTTACTGTCACCCTTTGTGTGAAATCCACCCCCAAGGCATGTCAAGTCAGTCTCTTAAATGTCCATTTAGATTTCTTTCCTCCTTGTATCACCCTAGACTGAACCACAGTCATCTCCCTCCTGAACTACTGCCATGGCTTTTTTAACTGACGTGCTTGTATCATCCTCATTCTTTCCAATCTTCTCACCAGGTTTCAACTAGAGGGATGGTTTAAATATGCAAAACTGGTCATGTTCCACCCCTGCTTAAAATGTTCTAATATCCTTCATTGTTCTATAGTAACAGAATCACATTGTTTGGGATGTGCTAGATTCTTGCCCACCTCACCAGACTGTCCAGCTCTATTATTCCGTCTCCCTGTATTACCAGTGCTTCCTCCTCCCTTCCTTTCTTTCTTTCTTTTTTGAGAAAGTAGGATTTATTAAGAAGACAGAAAAGTTTCCATAGTGGGAGGAGACCTGAAAGAGGTTGCCTATCTTCTTTATTTCCTGCAAAGTGTCATGCTCCTTCCTGCCTGGAACCTTTACTCAGGCTGTTCCTTCTGTCCAGAATGTCTTTCCTTCCCTTTCCTTTTCCTCCTCCCTTTTCCTGGTTACTGAATTTCCTTTCCACCAAGATGCTATCATTTATAAAACACATCTTTTGTTAACAGCTTTCTAGAGAAAAAATACTATCTCATTAAATGTACATATAGAAATTGAAAATCCACATTGATATTAAAAATCTTTAATTTGAAAAGATGTGATTCTTAGAACAAACACGCTCATAAATAGTTTGCACATGGTTTCGTAACTTCCCATTTTACTTTGTTTTCCTTATTATGATATTTGTAATCACACAATTCATTAGGTTTCTACTTTTTAAAATGTCTCTTTTATCTAGTAGAATATGTGCTCTGGAAGATGACATTTGAATAAACATGACCTATTACTTAGCACAAACTTGATGTTAGAATGAACCAACATGTTTAATTCAGAATTGCTCCATTTCCCATAATGCAGTGTTCAAGCCAGGCGTGTGTACTTACCTCATTCTACTTTCTATCACTGCTGTATCAAATTGGCACAAATGTACTGCCTTAAAACAAAGCAAATGTATTCCCTCATAGTTCTGAAGATCACAGGTCCAAAATCCGTTTCACTGGAGTAAAGCCAAGGAGTCGGCAGAGCTGGTTCCTTCTTGAGGCTCTAGGGGAGAATCCGTCTCCTTGTTTCATTTTAAACTTCTAGTAGCTGTCATATTCTTGGCTTGTGGCCCCTTCCTTCATCTCAGAGAGCACCACTCCAATCTCTGCTTCTGTTATCATGTTATCGTCTCCTCTGTCTGCTCCTGCCTCCTTCTTGTAAGGATTCTTGCGAGTATATTGGGCCTATCTGGGTAATCCATGACCATCTTCCTCATCTCAAGACCTTTAATTTAATCATGTCTTCAAAGTTCCTTTGGTTATATAAAGTAACATCCAAGGGCTAGAAAGTATGGTGTGGACATATGGGGGAGCATTATTCAGCATACCTCTCACCCTTTTGTTGAAAAGTCAGGCTATGGAAGAGTTAGATCCAAGTTGGGAAATGAAACATGGACCAAGAGACATCACATGAGGATCAATAGATTTATCTTTTAGACCTGGTGTGGCTACTTCTTAGTGGTGAGGCCAGGTAAATCTCTCAATCTCTTCTTCAAGCTTCCTCTGCAAAATGTCAGGTCAAAGCCAGTGATTTCTTACATTCTATGATTATCAGTTCCCATTGGTTATATGATGGAGTAAGATTTTACTCTGTTTTTACCCATGCATGACTTCACGTGGCCCACAGCTTCAGGAACGTGAAAGCAGCCCGGGAAAATGTTTTAAGATCTCAAGTCCTGCCACTATGAAGGAAAGAGCTCCTCTTGCTGCTAATAGGATTCTCCTTCAGGTTCCCATCTCAGCCTGGTCTCAGTTTCGGTGAGGAGGAGGACAGAGAAAGAGACTACGTATGTAACAAAACAGACTTTTATGGTCTATTTGCCCTTCATGGTTTATTCAAATACCAACATAGAGTAGCTTTGAGAAAACAAAAATAATTGAAAACTAGAATATCCTGTCAAAGTATGACCTGCCCACCTTTTAAAAAAAATAAAAAGGAAGAAATAAAAGAGCTGAAATTACTATCCAAGCATCTGGCACAAATTACTACATTCTAGATAACTTAGTCATGTACAAGACTAAACAAAAAACATAGTCTTAGACACTAGTAAATTGCACGCTCACTTACATTAAGAATTCCAGAAATGATCAAAATAGAAGACTCACATTATAATCTGTCTTTTAGCTAACCTTGGTGCCTGGCATACAGTAAGTAGTCAACGAATGTGAGATGAACTGAATCAAGCTTTCACAATATTCTTCATAAAGTGTCAATATGTATGTGTGATTTAGAGCAGATCAAGGTGATATGTTCATGGTTGAGACTAGGAGCCCTGAGACGGTGAAGGTGGGTACGTGTGGGGTGGAGGCCATTAGTGTGAACATAGCAAAAACTTAACATGAGCGAGTTTTCAGGGTATACCCTGGGGTTTTTTGTTGTGTTTTGTTTTTCAATAGCCCCTTTACATATTAAAAAGGAGGGGGGGATGAAAATTTGACGGAGAAAGAAGTTAAAAAGTAAAGTGAAAAGTGAATGTGAAGGTGAGGCTACTAAAACAGAGATAAGAGATGTCCACAGAAGCAACCTATGGTTTGGGAGGAACAATCAGGGCAGGACTGTTCGCCAGATGAGAACTGATTAAAAGAGGCGGAGTTTGGTTTGGTTTTTACTAAATCTCTCGCGCCCTCTAGCGGATTGATGGAGTAGTCCAGCATCTATAGTGGAGCATGTTCTCTTCGGAACTATGTTCTCGCTTTAGAATCAAGATTGTCTCTGTTTCCCTTTAAATGTTTTGGGTACCATGCTTCAACTTCTTCTTCTTCTTCTTCTTTTTAGTAGGTGTTTCTTATTTCCTCTGCTTGAAAGTCACGCCCTCGTTATCTCCGTAAGTAAAGTCCGGAGCTCTGCATTACTCCTAGAGTGAGAACAATTATGCTGAAGATGCTTTGGTTTTGGTTTAGTCCCAGTCATGAAGAAACCATTTCAAATTTCTTAAGCAAATCCTTAAAAGTGTAATTTACGCCAGAGCAGTTGATCTGGCATTTAAATAAACCGCAACTCGAGAAGTAATTCAAAGTGTTTCTACTCAATTCTTTTAGAAGCTTCCTTAAAAATTACTTTCATTGGCTCGTAAAACACCTGGCAGAGTTCGCTGATGATAAGAGTAGTGGAAACAGGGAGGCTGGCGGCCCAAAGTCAGCCCCGTGGTATACTCTATTCCATCTGCTTCTAGGTAAAGAGACTGTAGGGTGTCTGTGATTAAACAGTTTGTTGCAGCACTTTGGGCTGAGGGCTAGACAGGTGGCATTAATGTCTGTGAAATTAGCCCACCAACCAGTTGGATGCTTTATTTAGCTTGACTTCTCAGAATACAGCAATGTGGGGGCAACACTTGAACTCTGAGCTCTCCTGGGGAAAGACCTTTTGAAAAATCGTGACAATTGCAGACTCCACATAAGGGATCAGCTCATTTAAAAAGGGGAAAGTGGAGCTCGCCTGTGTGCGTCCAATAAATCACCACCAAGTGAGAACAATTAGGCATGAAGAGAAGCCATTACCATTGCTTTTAACAAAGAAACTGGGCGGGAGACGGCACATTTTTAGAACCATCCTTTGACCAACGGAATGATTTCAATGATCATCTGGGAGTGAGAAAGAAAGAACAAATTTTACTCATAATATTTGGGGAATAAGAAAGGAAGCGGGAAGGCAAACCGAAGCAGACTTTCTCCAGCAACGCTGGAAAATAATAACAGCCACGTCCTACTGAAACTTTGAAGGGAATAGGGGAGCATCGGCGGGTGGGCCTGGCTGGCTGCCCGGCTCCCCCTGCTCCCTGGCGGCGGGCGCGGCTGGTTCAGCACCTCGGAAAGCGCCCCTCGCCCCGGCGGGGCTCGCGCATGCTCCTTGGGGCCCGCCCCGCGGCCGTGCGCGAGCGAATATAACTCCGGTGGGCGCCGCGGGCAACCCCCTGGGAGTGGACAACCGCGGAGAGACGCCGCCGACCTCCAGTCCTCCGGGCGGCAGAGCGAGGCGGACGGGACTTTACGACCTCTTTCTCTCAAAGGACAGAAGCTTTGTCCAAGCAGCTGCAGGGGAAACCGACGAAGGTGTTTGAAAGAGGAGCAGAGGCTCCGCACCGCGCTCGGGAGCTGCGGGGTGAGTTCTGCGCCAGTGCCCCCGGGGACCGCGGGCAACGGAAGAGGGGTCTGAGTGGTACAGTAGGAACCTAGAGACCTCGGGGTTCCTGTTGTCCGACTCGGACTCAGACTTGCCTGGGAATCCTGGGACGCCGGCTGCTCGCCTTAGGGACTGCGCTCCTCCGCTCTGCTCCAAAGCAGACGCGGAGCTCCCCTCCTGCGCCCAAGGCGGCGCCCTGCGCGCCGGGACGCGCGGGGGACCCAGTTCCTCGGCTCTGCCTTCTGCAGCTACTTTGAAAGCTCCCGCGCACGCCCCGCGTGCCCATCTGGGGGCAACACCGTGCTCCCTGACGTCTAGCCCCCCGGAATATGGCCTAGAGGCACCTGCTACCGCCGCAGCCGCGTTGGCCACCATGAATAAGGCGGCTGGCGGGGACAAGCTCGCAGACCTCCTCGGTCTGATCCCGGACCTTCTGGAGGCGGCCAACGCGAGTGGCAACGCGTCGCTGCAGCTTCAGGACCTGTGGTGGGAGCTGGGGCTGGAGTTGCCCGACGGCGCGGCCCCGGGGCCTCCTCCCGGGGGCGGCGGCGGCGGGGCGGAGAGCGCGGACCCCGAGGCCCGGGTGAGGATCCTCATCAGCGTGGTGTACTGGGTGGTCTGCGCCCTGGGCTTGGCCGGCAACCTGCTGGTGCTCTACCTGATGAAGAGCAAACAGGGCTGGCGCAAGTCCTCCATCAACCTCTTCGTCACCAACCTGGCGCTGACGGACTTTCAGTTCGTGCTCACCCTGCCCTTCTGGGCAGTGGAGAACGCGCTGGACTTCACATGGCCCTTCGGCAAGGCCATGTGTAAGATCGTGTCCATCGTGACGTCCATGAACATGTATGCCAGTGTCTTCTTCCTCACCGCCATGAGTGTGGCGCGCTACCACTCGGTGGCCTCTGCTCTCAAAAGCCACCGGACCCGAGGACACGGCCGGGGCGCCTGCTGCGGCCAGAGCCTAGGGGACAGCTGCTGCTTCTCGGCCAAGGCGCTGTGCGTGTTGATCTGGGTTTCAGCCGCGCTGGCCTCGCTGCCCAACGCTGTGTTCTCCACCACCGTCAAGGTGATGGGCGAAGAGCTGTGCCTGGTGCGCTTCCCGGACAAGCTGCTGGGCCACGATAGGCAGTTCTGGCTGGGCCTGTACCATTCGCAGAAGGTGCTGCTGGGCTTCGTGCTGCCGCTGGGCATCATCAGCCTGTGCTACCTGCTGCTAGTGCGCTTCATCTCCGACCGCCGCGTGGCGGGGGCCGAAGGCGGGGCCGCGGCCCTCGGGGGAGGCCTGGCGGGAGCCAGCGCCCGGCGACGGTCCAAGGTCACCAAATCAGTGACCATTGTGGTCCTATCCTTCTTCCTGTGTTGGCTGCCCAACCAGGCCCTCACCACCTGGAGCATCCTCATCAAGTTCAACGCGGTGCCCTTCAGCCAGGAGTACTTCCTGTGCCAGGTGTACGCGTTCCCGGTGAGCGTGTGCCTGGCGCACTCCAACAGCTGCCTCAACCCCATCCTCTACTGCCTCGTGCGCCGCGAGTTCCGCAAGGCGCTCAAGAGTCTGCTGTGGCGCATCGCATCTCCCTCGCTCACCAGCCTGCGCCCCTTCACCGCCTCCACCAAGCCGGAGCCGGAGGATCAGGGGCTGCAGACCCTGGCGCCGCTCCACGCGACCGCGGAGCCCGACCTGCTCTCCTATCCTCCCGGCGTGGTGGTCTACAGTGGGGGGCGCTACGACCTGCTGCCCAGCAGCTCGGCCTGCTGACGCGGGCCGAGACCCGGGGCGCGCCGTCGGGGCTGGGAGGCCTTCCCCGGGCGGTTTGGGACGCCGAAGGTGGGGAAAGCGTGGAGGAGCAGCCTGTGAGTAGGCCGGAGGAACTTCTCCGGAGAGAGGATGCTTCAAAATCAGGTGAGGAGAGAAAGCTGGCAAAGGGACCGGCATCAGCCCCACAGGGCTAGGTCACCAGCCTCCGCTCTCCACCCTACATCCTCTCCACGTTGGGCAGAGTGTGGGTGCCCAGAAACAGGAGGAGACATCAGAAACATGGAGAACCAGGGAGTGGGAGGCAGCCAAATGATGAGTAATTGAGAGCCTTTATTCCAGCGACTTCTATGGAGCCCTTGAAAGGGGCCTTAAGGGGCCTCTAGTCAGGGGAGTCTCCCACCCAACTTGGCTTTGCGCCGAGGCCCGCGAGACTGAAGTAGCGCAAAGGACCGACCCACTTGCGGTGTGGCTGCCCCAGGAGCCGAGAGTCTGGAGGCAAGAACTCTTTTCCGAGTTGGGAGAGAGGAGTGACCATTCTTGGTCGTCTCCCAGGAGAAATAGAGAAGGAAAAGCGCCTCCCACGGAACCATTGTGTCGTTTATCATCCCCGACTGGGCGGGCGAGCTGCAACGCTCGGGAGTCCGAAGAGACTGCGCAGCCTCTGAGCTCAGAAGTGAGCAGGAGGTAACACTTCTCACCAGTGCGGGAGAGCGATTCTCTAGGGAGTGGCGTCGCTGCGGGAAGGAATGGACGCGTTGTGATCGGGCGGGGGTGGGGGTGGGGGTGCTGGAGAGAGAAACTTCTTCAGGCTACTTCCCCTAAAGGAACAGAATGGTCCCGTACCCACTTGGTAAGGGAGCTGGAGGTGGAGCGCTGCGTGCGCTGGGAGCCCGGGCGCTCCAGTTCCCTTGAGAGCTGTCAGGGTTCCTGGAGACACTATGGCCCTGGGCGGCGAGCTGCCGGGACCCAAGCATCTTGAAAAGACCCACTGGGAATGGGGCACTTCTGCAGCCACTCCCCTCTCACCCTTTGAAAAGGACCCTTTGGTTGAGGATCCGAGCAGTGAGTAGAGGGATGACCCAGCGGCATTCATTTTTTTTTTTAAGACTTAAAAGAGGAAGAAATACCGTAGAAATGTGCAGGAGATCTCAGAAACCAAATTTAATGAAGCTTGGGTCTGATCTTTCAAGAGAAGGTGTGGGGTGGGAAAGAGAATGGAAGGCGCAAGTGAAACCTGTCCTAGAGAAAGAAGAGTACCGGAGAAGCTATTCTAAGGGAATCGCCAGAATTTCAGATGTGTGTGGGGGGGGGGGTCTTTGTTGCTCATACTATTGACAAGAGAAGGTAAGAACTAAGAATTCCCATAGGACACCACCTTCACCAAGTTCCATTTATTCCAAAGAGTGTTTTTTGCACATGGAGCATGCATGGTAAATTCTTCTCCAACCTTCACAGTCTGAAGAGTGCCTCACATTACTCATGTCAACTGTATTCTGGTCACAGCAGTTTCAGATGTGAAGACCCTCACAAAATCCTTTCTTGAGGCTGCTCTGAGAACTGGGATCACACGTCAGTCTACCCATCTGTCTACCAGCTTTGCTAGAGGTGCTACTGTTCTCTTTGGCAACTTGGTTTGGGGTCAAGAAACCAGTGCAGGCAGCTACTGATTTGGTTATTTTAATCATTAGAAAAACATGTCTGTTTAACATCAACCCTTGTAGAGTAGAATTGTTTAGTAAATTAGTTGAACATTTTCTGTAGTATCTGAGATTTGAGGCTCAAAATGTGAGGTCAACTCACTCAGCATCCCCTGTCCTGCTTTCTGTCACACAACACAGTACAATGACTACATATTTACACCTTTCTACAACACAGAAGCTACTTGATCTCAAGTTTAAGCAGTGTTGAGAAGTTAGCTCTTTCAGAAAACAGGATAGTACTTTTGTTTTGAAGTAGTGAAATTTGTCTTCCTATACCCCTGGGAAGAAAATGTATTGATATTAAATAGCAGTTGAGTTAACACTCAATGTAACACTTACTGAAATGTAAGCCCCACAAAAAATACAAACTGCATGAAAAAGTAAGCACTGGCAAAAACTAAAGGTAGCATGGTAGTCTAGTAGACCCTTACTGAGAGATTCTTACTGAAGCAACTTGCCATTTCAATTTTGATAATAAAATTATGTGTGAGTAGCTCAGAGTTCTTAGGAAGATGTGTTGAAGTATGTGCTTCTGCTACTGTAGGTACTAGAGAAAAAGAAAAAAAAAAAACAGAAGGAGCTGGAGGCAAAGTCTTCATGGAAAAACTCTAAATAGGGTCACCTTGGCCAAATCCAAACCTCAGGCCCTCTGAGAACATGGCAGGAAGGATCAAAGACCATGACTTCAGTCTACCACAAAGACAAAGCGTCAACAAGAAAATGGTCAGGTTGGTTGTATTAATAATCACCAGTTATTTTTGAGTGCATGTTTTATGCCAGATTCTGTGTTGGATGTTGAGGTCATGTGCATGAACCAGACATGTTTCTGACTTCTACCTTCTATGTATATAAGGACAGCCAGCCATGAACACAAGCAAGATAAGACTGGAAACAATGAGTTGAATGTCACAATAAGGCTAATAGAAAGTGCCACGGGAAGACAGGGGAAGAAAAGACTTATTCTGATGGAGGATCAGAAACTTCCTCATCAAAATAGTAATTTGAGACAGACCTAGAAATATGAACACAATTTAGGCAAGATGGCAGGGGTGGGGTGGAGAGGAAGTGATCATATTTGAAGCTGAGAAAATGTGGTGACCAAAAAGCTTGGTTAGGAACACAGGAAGCAAAACAATGTGATTTCTTTTTCTCCTACTGAATTTCCCAGGATTTCTGTTGAAAATGTACATGTTCCTCTGCATTTGTCTGAGAACAAGACTATCTTTCTTTTCTTTTCTTTGCCTTCTTTCTTTCCTTCTTTCCTTTTTCTTTCCTTCCTTCCTTCCTTCCTGAGAGATTATAACATTGGTATACTGAGAACAAATACTTGGGTTCCCAAAGGTGGTTAAAGACTTTTAAAATTGGATTCTATCCAGTCATTCACACCTCAATAGAGTTGAATTCAATGAGTAAAGTGTTTGTGTATTTGAAAGCACAGGTGTGTGTTTGTGTTCACGCACATGTGGGTGAGAGAAAATATGCCTGCTATAGCTCCAGTCTTCACCCCTGTATCCCAGCCAGTGTTCCATCTAAAAATAGCATCACCCATAGTAAAGAAATACCCTGTGGTTGGTTAGGGAGGGCTTGGTTTGACTCCTTGGGGGTCCAAGCGGGATGGCCTTCAGCTGTGGGTCACCTTCCCATTTATTTCAGAGTCTTCGTACAACAGGACAGTCCTTGGAGATAGGGGCAGGAAATAAGCACTGAACCCCACAGATGATTCCATTTCTAAACCATTCAGAAGTCAAGTATAAATAGGGGAAGCAAGAGAGGTGGCATGGTGCTGAGAGCTGTGTGACATGAGGTCCTCTGAGCATTTTGCCTCTGAGTTCATCCTGAACTTGTTTCTCCAAGATGGATGATGGAGATAAGTAGGAGAGATTGGAGAAGAAGGGGTAGTTTTGCATATGCTCTCTAGTAAGAATGAGGTTATTTCTTATGGGAGTGAATATACTAGCAGAATACAGTGGTAGCAAATGAGAAGCATCCATCATGTGGAGAGGAAGGGAGCAAGGCTTGGAGGTAGATAAATGAAATAGAATGCTCAAGCCTGAGCAGACAGCCTAGCCTGGGCTGGAAAGCCCCAGAGATCTGGAGAGAACAAGTTAAACTGCAGGAGCCCGGAGTACCCAGCATCACATAAGGAAGCTGAGTGTCCTGCAGGTGAGTAGGACAGCAGTGTGCAGGAAGGAGCGGCTGCTTTAGTGTAAGTCCCCTGCCCCCCATTCTCCTTTACCCTCAACACACCAGAAGTGGCCAGCCCCACAGTTGTCCTTCAGATGTCCTGCCCCACACTCCTAATGCCACCCCAGTCACAGTATGATGATGACCAGGTGGCAGCAGAGAACAGACTCTTTAAACAAAAAAGAGGCAATTGGGAGACTTGCAGCAGCAAAGTGGAAGCCCAAGAAGCAGCAGGAGGAAGAGAGTGTGAGACACCAGGGATCCAGCTGCTTTTGAGAGCCTTAGTGAGCTTGGGAAGGGGAAGAAAGCTGCGACACCAGAGGACAATGGCTGTGCTCTTAGGCTGGCAGTCTTCTGTAGGTGTTGCCCTGAGACCAGGGCAACCCAGGCTCCTGACCTGGATTTCATTATTAGAGTCCCTGCTGTGCCCCTTCCCACATGGCAAGGAGTCTACAGGGTCACTTGGAATCTGTGCCACTCTTGCCACCCACTTTCTAGATTATGCTTCAGTACCGGGAACCTCAGAATTCCCCATCCAAATGGCCCGAGTGTATTTACGGGACTTCGTGGGTCCTTTCCTGGGTTTATCCTTCAGAAAGAAGACCACGCCGCGTAGTCTGTGTACCCTTAGGTTTGAGGAGTGGCTAAGGATAGCTGATTATAGGAGTGATAAAGGGTGGAGGGGGTGGGAGGCTCTGGATGTGTTGATACCAATGTGCACACAGGACTCTCAGTGCTGGAGAGAGAGGGGAACAGGAGGAAAGGGGCAGAGGGATGAGCTGTGGCCACGTTCCTCCATCTATACTCTTGCCCTGGGCCCTGCAAATATTAGAGTGGGGCAGGCTGTACTCCTACACACAACAGCTGTGCAAAACAAGACCCAAAACCTTCCCAAGAACAACCAGAGCATGCCTCCTCTTCTCAGGACTGCTACCCCCAAATGAGCTGAAACTGAAGGGGCCTGGCTATGCTCCCGAGCCCACTCACTCTGCTGTGCACTAGGTCAAAAAAAACAACACCTCAGATCCCAAATGTCCCAGTTCTCGAAAGCAGCTCATTTCCTCTCTCCAAAGTTCCTTCCAGCACCAAAGATTTTGGTCAATTAGAAGTTGGCCTGAGACAATGACTCTAGACTCTAGATGAAGTGGGAGAAGGAGCCATACAATTCTTTTAACTTCTAAAAGCATGCGGGTAAATCTTCATTCTGCACTGTTCAGGCACATCTGGAATTATATAGGCAAACACTTAAGACTGGAGCAGATCGAGGGACAGAGAAACTGGATGATGAGCTTTTAGCCATAGTTATATGGCTAGCTCTGACCAAATGCCAGCCATCAGGCTAAGTGCTATCCATGTAGGAAGCAACAGAACCAGAAGTCCTGGGTTCAAACCCAGCTCTGTCACTTATGAGTTGCATGGTTTCTGGTGAGTTATATAACGCCTTTCTGCCTCAGTTTCCTCATGTACAAAATAGGGTTTGGTAACAGCACCCACTCCCATGATTGCTGCGTGAACATAGGTAAAACATTTAGAATCATGGTAAGCGCTCTACTATTACACTAAGTGTAATGTATTATTAAAAGTGTAATGTTTTATTATAAGTGCAATGTATTATAAGCACTCTACTATTACACTAAGTATAATATGTTATTATCACAACTCTGAGATAGAAATTTGTATCCCAAATGTATAGATGAGCAAGCATAGCTTAGGGAGGGTAAGTAGTTTGCTGCTGATTGGTAAAGCCAGGATTCAAAACCAACTGATTCCAAAGCTCATGACTTTTATTAAACCATGCTGTCTCTTGAGGCTGCTGAAAACCTCACCACAGGAGAAGCGGTTGAAGGCAAGTGGGTAGAGGAAAAACTGCTTAGCTTGGAAAAGAAAAGATCATAAAAGAAACCAGAGGCTGATTTTTGAAAGATTTTCATACCGACTCTAGAGGATGAAACAAGGGTGAAAGACTAGAGGGAATTATTTTTACCATGTCAATTAAATGAACCATTTTAAAGTGGTGAATCCTCCAGCATGAGATGTTCAAGCAGACTTTTCAAGAATATCATAAACTATTAGGAATTAATTATGAGAAATTAAATATGAATAAATTAGTATAAAATAAATCATTAGCAATGTTTTGAGTATTTGTGAATTTGATGAAATGTATGACTCCCTATTTATATATGGGTGCTTGGTTTTTAAAAAATCATGTCATAGGACACATTCAAGCATCATATGTGAAATGACTGCTTCTCAGGTCTCATCGTGGCCTGAAGTGCCCTGTGGGAAGCAGACCTGCCTCTCCCACCCTGAGATAGGGTGAGGAAAGTGTGTGTACCTTCTACCACCCACACTTAGCCCTTGCCACCAGAGCATAGAGGCACAGCCCAGACAAATGTCATCAGAAATATGGGGACCACTGTGCAAAGACTGACTGAAAGTGAGGGGTGGACAGATCTCACAGCTGAAATCACAGCACTGGGTATCCAGTGAACAGACCCCAAAGATCCAGAGTTGCAGCAAAGATTGACATCCTGCCATGGCCTTCACTGTGTCTTGAGGCATGGGTCAATGTCTCTTTATTGACCTAATCCACATATCTAACAAAGAGAGCCACGAAGCAACAGCCAATCAGAGCCACCGCAGAGGCCGTGATCACCACAACGACGACGCTCCCAGCCATGTTGACCAGAAATCCCAAGCCACCTCCGACCAGGATCTGAGCCAACTGCACCATGCAAGTGAGGGCGGCACAGTCCACGCCCTTCCCTCTCCTGCTGCTGCCGGGGTCCCCTCCCGGGGTCTGCTGCCTCTGCAAGAAAAGCACAGGAACAGGATCTGATCTACAGAGAATGGTCGGTCGTTTAGGGCATGGGTCAGCAAAGTTTTTCTTTAAAGAGAATGGCTGAATCATACAGTCTTGTTTGTAACTACTCAACTCTGCTGTTGTAGTGCAAAAGCAGCTACAATATGTAAAGGAACTGGCGTTCCGATATAAACTTATGAACATTGGGATCTGGTTTCATGAAATTTTCACTTTTCATAAGAGATTATCCTTCTTTTGATTTTTTTTTTAAATCACTTAAAAATTTAAAAGGAGCCGGGCTCGGTGGCTCAGCCTGTAATCCCACGCCTTTGGGAGGCTGAGGTGAGTGGATTGCCTGAGCCCGCGGGTTCGAGACCCACCTGGGCAGGCGAGACCTCATCTCTACAATAAATCAAAAAGTCAGCCGGGCGTGGTAGCGCATGCCTGTAGTTCCAGCTACTCGGAAGGCTGAGGCAGAAGGATCGCCGGAGCCCAGCAGGTCAAGGCTGCGGTGGCCGGGAGCAGCCACTGCACTCCAATCTGGGCGACAGGGTGAGACTCCAACTCAAAAAATAAAAAATAAATAAATAAAATAAAAATTTAAAAGGAATTCTAGGCCGAGCACAGTGGCTCACATCTGAAATCCCAGCACTTTGGGAGGCTGAGGCAAGAGGATTGATTGAGGCCAGGAATTTGAGACCAACCTAGTAAAACCTCATCTCTATTTAAAATAAAAATTAAAAAAAAAAAAAAAAACCACGTGTAGTGGCCTGTAGTCCCAGCTACCCAGGAAGCTGAGGCGGGAGGATCACATAACTCCAGCAGGTCAAGTCTGCAGTGAGCCGTGATCACGCCACTGCACTCTAGCCTGGGTGACAGAGTGGGGCCCTAACTCAAAAAAAAAAAAAAAAAAGTTAAAAGAAATTCTTAGCTCATGGACTATTCAAAAACAAGTGACAGGCCACACTTGGATGCAGTCATAGTTTGCTCATCCCTGATTTAAGGACACAGGGAAACCCACCTTCCTGCCCGATACCATCTTCCCTAGCTGTGTTATAGTCTTCAATTTCACCATGAGCACATATGAGCATTAAATGGCTAACATATGCAAAATTATATCTTTTTAAAAAGTCATTAAGTACAATGTAGTGGACATGCAATAAATACCCCATTCTTTTTCTTTCTTAATGTTAAAGTGGTTTTTTTTTTTAATTTTTAGAAAAATGTCGAAACTTTGATGTACTTAAGAGAAGCAACATTAAAATAATCGTTTCAGCTATTCAAAATATGGTTGGTATTTGATTTATATGTGAATGTTTGGTTAACATTTGGTATTTTGTCTGAACGGGTTGATAACTTTGTCATTTATTGGATATCTCTAATGTGGTAGGCCCATGCAAGTTTCTTTTACATGTTACTTTATTTCATCCTCACCACCTCCCTACTGTTATCCCCATCATAACAGTAATAATACTAGCTACTAGATTTTGAGTCTTTGTCAGGTGCTGGGTATGCACTATACTAAGCACATTACATACACAATCTTGTTTAGTTTTTTTGACAACTCTATAAAGTGGATATTATTATTCCCATTTACCTTATAAGAAAACTGAGGCTCTGGGAGTTTGAATGATGATTTCATATATTATTTAGTTTTAAAAAGGCATTGTGCAGAAAAATGCATGTTATTCATTGAGTGAGAACATAGATTCATACTTGCTTGATTTTCATTTTTAAAATGCTGGAAAGATAAACTAATAAGAGCAGTAAAGTGCTGGCACTTTCTCTTGGGGGAGAGAGTAAATTGTGGAGGAAGTGCCTCACAGTGTGCACTTTTTATACTATTGTGATTGTTCAACCATGTGAATATATCACCGCTTCTAAAAATAAACTAATTCTAAGTGCTGCTTAATAAAAAAATACATAACATCCCTAGCGTCACACAGCTTCAAAGTGGAATCCTTTAACTCCAAAGCATAGGTGTTTTTGCCTTGGTACCACATAACTCTCTCCTTGGAAGGACAAGTTCTTAATGATGACAGTCCCTTTTAACAGCAGCACCCCCTGACATGCACTGAAACATTGGCAGCAGTGTTTGCCAAAGGATGCGGACTGCCACAACCCTTGTTTGAAAGTTATCTCCTGGTGCAGCTCTGTCCTGCTGCCAGATCAAATGATGAAAAAGAAAGCCAGAGTTACAGTACCACGGACATGTGTTCTGTGTTTTTGCAGGTTCAGACTAAGAAGGATTAAATTCGAAGTTACACATCACTGCCCCAGTTAAGGGACTGTAAGGTTATTTTTATGGGGCAGAAAGTTGCACATTTTAATAAGAGGTGGTCACTGTAGAGCAGAAACACTTGGACTTGGTGTTCTTGTAAGAACTGCTTAGGCTCTTGCTCTCTGGTCAAGTTTCAAGGTGAGAATGGGCAGGTCCCTTCAGGACAGCACAGTGAGGATGGCTACCCATAACTCCAGCTTCCTCTTGGCACAGGAGGTCTGACTCACTAAAATCTGGACTACCAAGGACAACATTGCCTAGGAATTTCTTATCCTCAATCAATGACTGCCAGAAATTCCCCCATGCACCTCTGCAGTGCTTGGGAGCAAGGGGACCCTCATGGTGGGTATCTACAAATGTGACAGGTGCTCCAGCAAGACCTGTGGGGTGATTGTAGAAGACCCCTTTCTTTGTCTCTGTGTGATTGTGAACTGGTGTCTCTGCTTCTCCAAACCCCCTTTTCCTAATCAGACAGATGGGAATAACACTCTATGTCCTATAGCTGCCAGGTGCTCAGGAGTTGACAGTAAGGAGGACGGGAGGACTAGGCTGGTGGGCATGCCTGTGCCACATGGGATTATGATTTGGTTAGGAATTTTAGTGCTGCTGTTTCAAGAACTCTTCTCAAGAACAGCCTGGACAAGACCTCATTTCCAAAATAAAAATCAAAAAATTAGCTGGGCATGGTAGCTTGCGCCTGTAGTTCCAGCTACTTGGAAGGCTGAGGCAGAAGGATCACTGGAACCCAGCAGGTCGACGCTGGCATGGCCATGAGCGTGCCACTGCACTCCAACCTGGGTGATGGAGTGAGACTCCAACTCAAAAAAAAAAAAAATCTCATTTCCTAGGTCTGCTCTACACATTCCTACCAAATCCCCCCAGCCTTCAGATGAGTCCAAGTGTTACCCAAGGCAGAGGTTCAGCAATGACACACCTCCTCCTCCTCCTCACGGTGGTACTCAGCGATGAGGTTAAAGGGCACAGTGTACAGAGTGCTGGACATGACGCCAAACATGGTGCACAGGACCAGGGTGGAGTAGACATTCGGGAAGAGCCCAATAAAGCCGGTCCCCAGGCCAAACAGCAGATACCCCGTGAAGTAAAGACCCTTTAATCCAATGTAGGATACCAAAGCTTTCTGAAAGTCTGTGGGGAGAAGGGAGGGAGAAATTACAGCTGTCAGTGCCTCACAACACTTAATAATTTCAGACAATCCTTTTTTTTGAAGATTCACTTATTTCCCCCCCCCTTAGGAGACATCCTTTGATCTTGAGTTAAGAACAAAAGAATCTCCTTATCTGTGGGTTGAAAACAGCTGACTTTTGGAATCATTTTTAAAACCTTTGCATAAAGGACAGTTTAAAATTGGCTTGCTAGGCTGATGTTCTTTCTACAAAGAAGTACCTGGCACTATTTAGCAGACAGCTGGATAGCAAGAAGAAACAAACAAAAAAAAGAAGCAGAAAAGCTCACTTTGGCTATGGAACGCTGGGATTAGAAGACACAGAAGAAAGGTGCGAGTTATTCTGACTCAGAGGAGATCCCGCCCAATCAGGACTAAAATAACAATACAGGCCTATCTTGGCCTATTGCCCAAAGTCAGATTGGGGGAAATTAAAACAACCAGATTTTGCCAAATGACCCAAGTCCTTCATAATTTCTTAGCCCCCATCTGAATGCAAACTACACATCTGAGAAGGAAGTAAAAGGCTGTGCAATTATCTGAGGTTACTTTCCCTGACTTGCCAACTCTTACCAGGACAGCAAGAGGTCCCTACAGTTGATATCTCCTCACTGGTACCCTCACTCTTGGTGAACAAGTTCCTTAACTTCTCAACAGTCTAGCTTCCTCATCTGAAAATTAGGAATAATAAAATTCTCATTTGGGGTTATTGACAGGATTATATAAGATGAAACATCTGTGAAATCTCCCATCCCAGTGTCTAACACATAGAAAATGTGGCTATTGCTGTTTTGACAAATACAGGCTGGACTGAAGATGGCTGACTTTTAACTGGGTTTCCCTTCTAGCAAGTAAACTTGGCTTTAAGTAACATGGTAGAGCTAATTTTTAAAAATGAATATTTGTTTTAAAACATTTTGTAAGTGAGGGATGTTGACTCACACCTATAATCCCAGCACTTCGGGAGGCCGAGGCAGGAGGATCTCTAGAGTCTAGAAGTTGAAGACCAGCCTGAGCAACATAGCAAGACCTCATCTCTAAAAAATAAAAATACAAAGAACTAGCTGGCCGTGGTGGTGCATGCCTGTGGTGCCAGCTACTCAAAAGGCTGATGCAGGAGGATCAATTGAGCCCAGGAGCTGGAAGTTGCCGTGAACCATGATCATGCTACTGTCATCCAGCTTGGGCAACAGAGTGAGAACCTGACTTAAAAACAAAAACAAAAACAAAAAACATTACAATGTTTTCCACCATGGTAAGGAAAATCCCTAGAAAACATTTTATCTTCTTTTTTTTAATCTGTATGTTTCTTATCTCTCCCCAGCCTCATTCTTTTGTAACACATGAACCAGGGGATACATACAAGATACTTGAAATGTGCCTATTCAAGAAGGAAACTTTCCATATCTATTCCAATAATTATCAGACTTACATCTTGTTAACAAGTAAATGTGTAGTACATTTGAATCAATTATGAAGCTAAGCTGTCTCAGATCGTCTAATGGAAGACAAAGCTTTGGAAATGATAAGCAGGCAGCATCGTGTCCTCAATTAAACGCATCCCATGCCTGGATCTATGTTGTTAAGGTTGAAAATACAAGTGATGTAAAGTTACATCCATTTCTGTTTGTTAATGATTATATCTATGCAAAAAAGTCACCAAAGGTGTCTCAATACCTAAAAGATACCATCAAAACTCATTAAAGAATGGTTCCTATCCAAGTGTGTAGGCCAGCCAAGAAGAAGGCAAAGGAGAATAAAGAGATATTTGGAAACATAAGTAACTTCAGTACAAAGACTGAAGTTCATAAGTCTGGCAAAGAATGTTTCACTTATGAAGAGAAATCAATAAGCTTCAGGGTCAAGCTTGCCTTGCCCTCTGATGGCTCTGACACCCAGTAGTCATCCTATCTTCACACAATGCCTCTCTTCAGGACTGGAGGGAAATGATAGATCTAGGTACCAGCTATGACTTCTAGCATTTGATATGAATGATTGGCTACATCTCAGTAATCAGTATTTTTTTTTTTTTTGAATCGAGGTCTTACTCTGTCACCCAGGCTGGAGTGCAGTGGCATAATCATGGTTCACCACATCCTTGACCTCCTGAGGTCAGGTGATCCTTCCGCCTCTGCCTCCAAGTAGCTGAGACTACAGGCAAGCACCACCACATCCAGTTAATTTTTTAAATTTTTTATAGAGATGAGGTCTTGCTTGGTTGCCCAGGCTGGACTTGAACTCCTGGGCTCCAAAATCCTCCTGCCTCAGTCTTCCAAAGTGCTGGAATTAGAGGTGCAAACAACCATGCCAGGCCAGTACTCAGTATTCCTATTCTAATCGGTGCATGTGTGCCTGCTGTACAAAAGGAACTTGGAAACAAGTCCCTATCACCACCCCCCACCCCAGCAGCCAGATTGTCCTGCCACGCTCTAAGCAGAGAGAAATTCTGGATCTGCACCTGGTGTTATGTAATGAGTCCAAATTAGAGACTAGTAGAGTGAGATCTGGAAGTAAAGGAACTGATTGATTCTGCTCACAGTGGGTTGGGGTGCATGGGGAAAAAACTTGAGTAATTTCACTAAGAAAGTAATATTTAAGCTGGGTCTACATGGATAAGAGTTTTCTAGGTGGGCAAGCAGAAAGCGCAGTTCGGGTAGAAGAAACTAAAGCAGCAGCAAATACACAGATAAGAGAGTCTGTGGAGTGGGTCATCGAGGGCAGTTAATTGGTATGGGAGCGAAAAAGGTCAAAATGTAAATGAGGTTAACCTGTGAAAAGCCCTAAATGCGAAGTTCAGGAATTTGACTTTGTCCTGGAGACATGGGGGGGTTCCTGAAGATCCTTGAGCAAGACTGGTTGATATTTTATAAATAAAATTTTGGCTTGAATTCACAATGCTATGGATTATGCATTAATATAACTTTGGAAAACTATTCAAATGAGAGTTTATTTTTATCTAGAAAAGCATTTAACTGGAGAGGGACTAAAAATAACATGTTTTTAAATTTGTAAATACCATTAAAGGTATGCAAAACTTAAACTCTAGTTTCTAGTGAAATGGTACCCAGCGGGGTTCTTTGATCAAGATTGACACAAAATTAAAATACAAATTATGATTGAAAAAATGTGTTCCTCTTATAAGGATAAACCTCTTAGTATTTATTAAGATAATAAGGTAGTATTTACTACTGCCTCTTACAGGTGGTAGTAAATAGTCCCCTCACCTATTGAAATCACAAAGGAATTGAGATAGATAAGTTATTAGACCCTTTGATTCTATTTTAAGAACTTGAAATCTTCCTCCTGGAATTTTTTTTAGTCTACACGTTCTAAGGGGAAGAAAAGTGTTTGCTAAAGAAATGTAAACTTTAAACACCACTATCTGATTATTGTAAATTTTAAAATAAGTCTTATGGTTACATGATTACTGAACTCAGGAACTCCTTGCATGCTTATATTAGGTACCTTTTCTTAATTGTGCTAAGTTTTGAAGAAATCTTGAGGCAGGCTTCCTGCTGTGATGGGGCTAAGTGAAGGGCAGGGGTAGGAGCCCTTAGACACATTCACCCTTTCCCCCCACAGGAAGCACAGGGTGAGTGCCCTTGAGAATGATAACAGGGATTCTTCCCTATCTCTTCCCACTTCTCCCACCTGAGTTATACCCCTTCTGTCCCCTGGGCCTGTGGAAAACCTAGAGCCCTGAGTGGGGGGTCAGCTATTATCCTCACAGTCCTAGAGGAGTAGAACTCATTATAATCAGGAGCCTAATTTCCACTACAAATAGGGGACCTAGATACAATTTTTTCAGACCAGACCTTTCACTTAATTCAAGCATCTACAGGGCTTGGCAATGTCCACGTACATTAGTAAGTACAACTCAAGTCTCAAGCCTGTGTGATGCCCTGGTTTTTGTAGCACATCAGTTTGGACTCTTTTTTTTTTTTTTTTAATTTTTTTGAGTTGGAGTCTCACTCTGTCGCCCAGTCTGGAGTACAGTGGCCGCTCCCAGCCACCGCAGCCTCAACCTGCTGGGCTCCGGTGATCCTTCCGCCTCAGCCTTCCAAGTAGCTGGAACTACAGGTGCGCGCTTCCATGCCTAGCTCATTTTTGATTTACTGTAGAGATGAGGTCTCACCAAGTTGCCCAGATGGGTTTCGAACCCGCGGGCTCAGGCAATCCATTTCACCTCAGCCTCCCAAGGCGCGGGATTACAGGCTGAGCCACCGAGCCCAGCTAGTTTGGACTCATTTAAAGTCAATGGCAGAAATCCCTTTGTTCCGTGTCTTCACAGCTGAAAATTAGGTAAGTGGGGGAGTTAAGAGGCTCAAGACCCCCCAGGAAAGCCGGCACCTGAGAAGGGAAGCTAGTTGTTCTCAATACTGAGATAATACTCCCTCAACCTACCACCTTACACATCGGGACTAAGGTCATTTTACATGTTGATTTTGCCACCTATCATATTAACCATCCTTTCTCTTTTATGTTATCTACAAGTGTGATAAAGCATATCTTTGAAACACCACCAGTGATTTTGCTATGGTAGACCATGGACATGCTGGAACTTCTTCATCCAACGTTTCATCTTATTTACCAGATTCCCCTTTATTTTCCAGAGAAACTTGATCAGAAACCCACTGGTTCAAAATACAAAGTAACCACTGGGAAAAATGATACCTAGAATTCACAATGAAAAAGATATTTCATTTGGTCCTTTCTAAAGTAACAGTTTTTCCTGACCTCCATATATTTATCAAGATTCTCGTCTTTTAAAGAGTAGGAGATACAGAAATCTCAAATCCAATTTCTGCTAGACCAGAACACTTTCGAAGACAACCTTAGGAGAAGGAAACTTACAAGAATAAACTGAGGAGAACACGGAGTTGATGCACAAGCCCCAACATCCAACCTCAACCCCTCTTTCGTAGATGAGAAACTCTGTGGAGTTGTGAGCACTATAGGGATCCCCATGATACACAATCTGAAAGAGAAGTTTAGAGTTGTTGAGATACAAATATAATGTGGTAGGGACCCCTTCTTACGCACTCGGCTTCTCCACCCTTGGGGAGCAAATGTCCCTGCCTGAGGGGCCCTTCCTGAGGTACAGAGCTCATCCTGTCACAACCAAGTCACCCTTTTCATTCTGTCACACCTCCATTCAAGGACCTGCTGGAAGTCTAATGCCTACTGCACTGAGTCTAAACAACACTCTCCTGGATCCTTGACATCTCTTTTTCCACCTCACATCTGGCCCCACTTGACTCAGGCAGTCCTGTCACACATCTTCTGGTACAGCCCATAGGGTTTGGACTCATCTCCACACATGCCATTCTTAGTCCTGCTAGAATGTTTTCTCCCTCTCTTATATCTCTTCTACTTACCCCTAAAGGTCCAGAGCATACTATGCCTCTTTTATGAAGCCTGCCATGATTGCTGTAGCTTACATTATTCTTTCCCTGTTTTGTATTTTATCAAGTACTGGTAAGCCCCATAGTGGACACCTCTAGTTGTCAGGGTTGCTGTAACATGCTTCTAGAACCCGTCTGTAAGCCAGCTTCTTGGCGGTACTCTTTCCTACACTCTTATTGTGCCCATCCTAGAGACTAGCCCACAAGAACCTTGACAGTTCCTGATGGAGGGGTTGATGTGTGAATCATTGAATGCATGTACAGACATGTTCATTACCTGGCCCATGAAATCTGTGAAGAAGAGCATGTTGGACAGGAAGGCAGTCCATCCAATGAGGTGGCTGATGCAAAGGTAGCGGTAGTGGGGAGGCATGCTCATCAGCGCCCTCAGCAGTGACCTCATGGTCATTGTCCTATGAGCCTGAAATAAAACATGAAACAGAGGTGTGACCTTCAGCGCATACACTCAGCCAATTGTGGGAGGGCACAGTACACAGTCATCAGTCAGTTGACACAGGGTCACTTTTTCTGGGCATGGCACTAGATTTCCAGGGAGTAGACTCACAGGTGCTACCGTGTTAAGCATGTGTGGCTGCTTATCAATTTCAGGCCCAAAATGGGGCTTTGGACTCAAGGGCAAAAAGACTGAGAATGATGCTAGCTTTGGGCCAAGATGTACAAGACATCCTATGCAGCCTATGTTTGAATGATAGAACTACTGCATAACGACAAAGCTCACAGATCTAAGTCAACTCTTAGATTATTGTAATTCTTGGGTCTCTTGACTCTGAGAGCATGATAGGCTGACTTCAAGATGGTCTGTCATGATCTCTGTCCCCTGATGTCATCCCCATGATAATGTTCTGTTACATGGCAAAGGGATTTTGCAGATATAGTTAAGGTTATTAATTAAAGTTACTAATCAGTCAACTTTAAATTAACAGAGATTTCCTAGATGACCCTAACCAAATCATATGAGGCCTTGAAAAGTAGAGAGTTTTATTCACCTGGTAGCAGAAGGAGAAGTCAAGGTGATTCAAGGCACAAGGATTGTTTGCCTTGAATGTGGAAAAAGCCACATAGAAAGACCTGAGAGTAATCTATAGAGACCGAGAGCAACTCCAGACCAACAGTCATTAGGAACCATAGTCCTATAATCACAGGAAATTTTTGCAACAACCTGAATGAACTTGGAGGCAGACTGTTCCCCAGTTGAGCCTCCAGATGAGAATGCAGCTCGGCCGACACCTTAATTTTAACCTTGTGAGATCCTGAGCACAGAACCCAATGAAGTGCAACCAGACTTCTGATCTGCAGAACTGTGAGATAATAAATTGATTTTTTTAGTTGCTAAATTTGTAATAATTTTTTATGCAGCAATAGAAAATTAATACAGGGAGCCAGATGATTCTCTCTACTCTTGGCCAAGTGTCTCCTTCAAGGATATTTCTCTGGATCCTGCCAGAAATTGACACATGTTAATGAACCTTATGTTAAGTTAGAAGCAAGAACAATGTAGAACTTAAATATGTATATTTATACACACACACATACACACACACACACACACAGGGTCATTAGCATGTCCATTGAAAATGTGTATTATGAAAAAGCTATGCATGAATTTTTAAAAATGTTTGCACCCAAATAAACTAATACTAATTTGTTATAACCTATCTAAACAGGATCTAGTTTGAGGTACTAAGAATAATAAGACATCATTTTGAAAAGAGTTTCTATCAAAGCAACATGAGTTCGGCTAAGATTGAAGCAAGAAAAAACATCAAATTTTGGGTGAATCTTGAGTGGAAGAATGGTGAAATTATTGATGCTTTACAAAAAGTTTATGGAGACAGTACCCTCAAAGAAATCAGCAGTTTACAAATAGATAACTCATTTTAAGAAGGGACGTGATGATGTTGAAGAGAAAGATCACAGAGGCAGATCATGCACATCAATTTGTAAGAAAAAGCTCACCTTGTCCATGCCCTAACTGAAGATAACCAACAATTAACAGCATAAATAATAGCTCACACCATAAACATTTCAACTGGTTCAGTTTTTACACAATTCTGACTGAAAAATTAAGGTTGAGTAAACTTTCCACTTCATGAGTGCCAAAATACTTGCTCCCAAAAGTTGCCAAGGAAAATTTAGGCAAGTGGGATTAAAATCCTAAAGCATTTCTTTGAAGAATTGTTAACAGGAGATGAAACATGGCTTTACCAGTATGATCTGGACGATAAAATACAATCAAAGCAATGGCTACCAAGAGGTAGAAGTGATCTAGTCAAAGCAAAAGCAGATTGGTCAAGAGCAAACATCATGGCAACATTTTGGGAGGATTCTTGGAGCATTTTGCTTATTGATTTTTTAGAAAGCCAAAGAACAATAACATCTACCTATTATAAGAGTCCTTGGAGAATTTAGCCAAAGCTTTTGCAGAAAAACACCCAGGAAATCTTCACCAGAGTTCTTCTTCACCATAACAATACTCCAGCTCATTACTCTCATCAAACAAAAACAATTTTGTGAAACTTTTTTTTTTTTTTGAGTTGAAGTCTCACTCTGTCGCCCAGACTGGAGTACAGTGGCCACTCCCGGCCACTGCAGCCTCGAGCTGCTGGGGCTCTGGTGATCCTTCTGCCTCAGGCTTCCAAGTAGCTGGAATTACAGGTGCTCGCTACCACGCTCGACTAATTTTTTGATTTATTGTAGAGATGAAGTCTCACCAAGTTGTCCAGGTGGGTCTCGAACCCGTGGGCTCAGGCAATCCACTCACCTCAGTCTCCCAAGGTGCAGGATTACAGGCTCAGCCACCGAGCCTGGCTCCTTTTGTGAAACTTTTTATGGGAATTCATTTGGCATCTACTTTACAGTCCTGATTTGACTCCTCTGACTTCTATGTTTCCTAATCTTAAAAATCTGTAAAGGGCACTCATTTTTCAATTTTTTAAAATTACCAGAACCTCAGTTCTTTAGGGTTAAATCTAATGTCTGGCATCAATGATTACAAAAGCATCTTGAACTTGATGGAGCTTATGTTGAGAAATAAAGTTTATATTTTTTATTTTTATCTTTTAATGCCATTTTTTTCATGAACTTTCTGAAGTCCCCTGTATATACACACATATATGAAAATGATATATGCTCTATATCTTTAATGTAGATTTATAATTTACATGTAAATTAATTTAAAATTTTAATTTAGTTTTAAAATGAGAGAGTGAGAAACCAAACTATTGACACAATTGTTTTGAAATATAAAGAATGAGACAGTCTTTAGCATATTGTCATATTAGAGAAGAAAGAAATCTCAGGACTATTAAGCAGTCAGCTGCCCTGAAGACACTAGGATCATAAACATCAACCATGGCAGGGTAATGGGTCATTTTTGTCTGATTTTTTTTAATTTTTTTTATTTTTTGAGTCCGAGTCTCACCCCATCGCCCAGGCTGGAGTGCAGTGGCATGCTCACAGCCACGCCAGTGTCAACCTGCTGGGCTCAGGTGATCCTTCCACATCAGTCTTCCAAGTAGCTGGAACTACAGGCGTGTCCTACCACACCCAGCTAATTTTTTTGATTTATTGTAGAGATGAGGTCTCACCAAGTTGTCCAGGCTGTACTTGAACCTATGGGCTCAGGCAATCCTCTCACCTCGGCCTCCCAAAGTGCTAGGATTACAGGCTTGAGCCACTGTGCCCAATCTTGTCTGGTTTTTATTTATTCTGAATCTTGACACAATGAAACTTAATCTTGGCTAGTTTATTTATGAGTGTCTACTGAGATTTTCTATTTTAACTATAACATCATATTAATTTATAACTGTAAACCTTATATGATCATGCTATTTTGTTGTGGAAAATTGTATTTATTAAGTTTTGTTGAATAAGTTGATTTTTTAAAAAAATCTATCTATCTTGTAGTATTTAACCCACGGACCATAATTTTATTGATTTTCTTATACTGAATCTGTATTTAAAACTACAGACATTCCCTTGGAGTTTAAAAAAAAACTTTTATACATGTAGAAAATAATACTGGTCAAAATAGGTGATGATTATAGCAGAAATGTAGTGCAGAATTACTACTTTCTCCTCAACCACAGGAAGCAGCAGCTAAAGATATAGCCCAGGGAACAAAAGTTGGGTTTTCTTGCCTCAAACAACATGGTTTATCTTCACTCTCCTTTCCCTTTCTCAAAATGCACAATTCCGAAAGTGAATCTGGTCAGCAAGTATTCAGCCTCATTCCAAATATTAATTTATGCTTCTGACATATACATAATTTTCATCCTGCTTTCATTGTTAACCTAATTCCTCCTTTCTTCCAAAAATAAATATGAGCTTTCAAAATGTGCCCAGTATTTCTGTAGAAGCTGGGAATGTAAATATTCAAAACCCCTTTGGGTATTTTAATTCAGAATGAAAATTCAGCTGGCATCTTATTCCTGACTCATCAATTCCCTTGGTAAAGCCTTTTCAATTGTTCTCAGCCCCTGGGAGTTGTTTTACTGCATTTCCTTGCACCACTGTCAGCTGGAGACTGGGTGGCAATGGATTTATAAGAGAAAAAGGCCCAAAGAACTTCACACTCAAAAGGAGACTATTTCACTGGTGAAGGGAGCAACTGCTGGCATGAAGGAATTGGAGACAGATTTTATGAAAAGTGGTATAAGCCCTGAAATAATTCAGACATCTTGCCATTGAAAAGAAAAATCTCAGTTCTCAAATTACATATACACTTTCATTTTGGAAAGCAATGACTTTGACAAACAATGACAGCCTTGCAGGCTTGGCCCTCACCCTGGCAAAATGTAGACTTCCATTGCTTAGCTGGAGACCTCCCAAGGCACACATTTGGAAGAGAAGTGTCAGATACTTGGTCTTGAGGCCAAGATGTATTACTCTGTGCTTTACTCTTACTTTAGTTTGTTGTTGTTGTGTTTTTATCCCAAATAACAAAACCATTCAGAGCCTACTGTGTTGTGTATGGGGCATGTAGTAGAAACTTAGTTATATTTGTTGTATATATTTTCTTATTTGTGTGGAGGATTTCATGCCTTTCAAAAGGCTCCCACTCACTTGATTTCATCTGATCATCACAACAGCCTCTGAGTGGATGAGACGACCTATACTGGGTGACTCTCGGAGGAGGGAACTCACAGTCTATCAAAGGGGCCATCAAAGAGGCAGATAATCTATCAGGGTAATATCTACTTATCTTCAGTAAAACCCCGCCTTGTTTTGTTTGTTAAACTATCACATTTTTTCTTTATTCTCATTATTTTATTATTTTTTCTTTATTTCCTGTCTATTATAGAAATTTTGGATCTACTGCGGGGTTAAAAAATAGAAAATTAAAACCTCCTGTTAGCCTATGAGGTTTTATTAGCCAGAGTTTTCATGTTTGGTATATTC